ATTTTCCGTAAATTGAGAAAAACGTGAAAATTGTTGTGACGAAATTTTGTGTACAGATGATAAGCAGAAAGAGTTCTATATAAATTTCAAATATATAGTTATAGCTCAGAAGCAAAGAGCTTTAAAGCTATAAAACTAGACTGCTTATAAGTAAAATTAAGTGTAAAACAACTTTACTTATGCAGCCAGAAATGGTTTACATAATAAAATTTTGAGAAAATAGCAATGTTTTAAGAAAAATTTGGTACAAGTGATCGTCAGGAAGAGTTAGTGATTTACAACAAGTCTAATTTCATTGCAATTGTTCGTAATTATATCTGAAAATTCATATTTTAGATTAAAAATATTACAAATACTACCTTATTTACCTAAGTTATCATGTAAGTCTTATTAAAATTCTGTGCTCTTAAAATCAAGGATTAGTCTTTTAAAAAAAAAATTTTTAAAACAGGTCTAATTGTATTATCGTTATTATAGTCATATTATGGCAATTATTCATTTAAGGGCTTGCTAGTTTTCATGATTATGTTTTCTGATACTTCATTTGAAAATGATTCTTTTCTTGAGTTACTTATAAGTAATACTTCTGCAGAAGCACATTTAAATGATGATGAGGAGTTAGTTAATGATAGAACACCATTCATTAAAAATATATTAGGCTCTGAATTTGAAAATTATAGTAGTGATCTGTCTTTGATTATTACTCCTATTGAGATTGAGGTTGGCACTCAGTTTATTTCTATGCCAGTTGCAGTTTATTATGTAGAACAATATGCCTTTCAAAATCATTTTTTTATTTATAAACATAAGTGTGAAATGTTCCCAGATAGTACCTGTAGAAAAAGAATTTTAAAATGCAATAAAGGCGGAAGATATTCTGAGCGGCTTTCAAGGCCAATACTTGGCAAACAAAAAAATAAGGGAAGCAAAAAACAAGGATATGCCTGGCAAATTAATATGGCATAGACCTTAAGCTCTCCAATAGTAACTATAATATTGTTTAAAACTGAGCACAATTACCAGATCAATATTGAGACCACAAAGTTCGCTACTGCTTATAAAGGCTTTTCTTAGAAGATTATGTAGCAAATTGAGTATTATATTGTACATGGTTGGTGTGATGCAACAATGATTAGGAATCTCCTTTAACCCAAGTATACAGATCATTTTTTTCTTACACAAGATCTCAGGAATACTATTCAAAAAATCAAATAAGAAAAAAGAATAGATATGAGTGATGTTGCGTCTTTGTTGACAAAACTTTTAGAACTTTAGACTAATGATCTACAATGGTTTGTAAAGCTATTAATAGATGATATAAGTAACTGGTTAGTTGGCATCTTTTGGATGTCACCAAAACAACGTGAAAGATGAGCTAAATTTTATAACATAATTATTCACGATAATACTACATTCACTAATAAATATAACTACCTATTAAGCCTTTTTATTTTAATTGATAATTATAACAGGAGTAAATTAGCAGCACAGACATTTATGCATGATGAAAGACAAGAATCATATGAATAGTTACTTTGATGTTGCTTATAAGCATATGAAATTTTTCCGTCAACTTTCGTTACAGATGCAGATCCTGTGATGGTTACAGCTATTTTTATTGTATTTTCCAAATCTGTCATATGCAATGTTTATATTATCTTTATCAAAACCTCCTAAAAAATCTTCGCTCATGTTTAGATCCACTTTATCAGGATTTTCTTAAAGATTTTAAGAATATTCAGCACTCTTATTGTGAAGATGTGTTTAAACAGAGGATTGAAGGTATAATTAAAAAATATAAGCAAGGAGAAAGATATATAACAATATTATTAAATCGAAAAGCCAGCTGGATAAAATGTTTTACATCTCAATGTTTTATAGCGGAAACACAATTTACACAATACGTAGAGTCAGAAAATATATTAATCCAAAAGTTATTCGATCAAATTTCTCTCTTTTGAAAGTACAAAAAGCTTTGAAAAATCAACTCGAATTTGAATCAATCAATAACCATTACTCAATTTGAAAAGCATCAATGTTACAATATATGTAGCTATTTGTTATTCAAAAATTTTTTATTGAAGTTGATCATATAATCCAAAAGTATCTTACACAACTAATTTATGATGTGCATTATAAACAAATGTGTCAATCAGTATGCTATTGTGCATATTAAGTTCCAATATCAGAAATTTTATTGTCTGATGATAATTTATTTGAACCATTTTTTGAAAGTGAGCTGGTTGATAGTTTTAAAACCCCTATTGAAGCAGATGAGGATCGTGAATTGAACTAACAATCTTTAATCTTGATGGTTAATGACAATGAGATTTTAGAAATTTGGAAAGTGTCTCACTACAACTATCTAAAATGTTATTAACATATAATTTTACTTAAAAATGATAAACATCTATGCACATGCTTTATGCTTATTACGCACAGAGTTTTATATTGGCATTTTTTTAAAATCTTTACCATATCTTCTAATGCATACTTTCATTTAATGCTAATTCCTAATTGTTGGTACAAAGATGAATATATTGATTCTAGAAAGGATTATTTCAATGAAATGGTATCTAATAACACTTATTCTAATGATACACAAATGATTTCAAACTTTATACAAAAGTACACTATAACCAATTTTTCAGACAAGCATTGTAAACAAACATCTAAAAATTAATTAAAATATAGTGCTTTAATAGGGGAAGCAAAAAAGGCAATTCAATATGCAATTCAGGATGGTGATGATGAGTTAATGCAATTAATAAAGGGATATAATAGGCAAAAAGAAGATCAAAGAATTCAACAATCAATCAGGTTGCAACTATTAAGCATAACAGTATGTAAAATTTTACATTAGTCTATTTGTAATACAAATAAGATTTAACTTAATTCACTACAGGTTTTGGACCCATTAAAGCACCAATCAAAAGGGAGACCACCATCAAAATGACTAAAGTTGTCAACTGAACAACCCAAAAGTAAATCAAAAACATCTAATCATGATAGTTATAAGGGCTATAAATGTGGATTATGTGGAGAAAATAGACATTATCATAGTACATGTTCTGCAATATAATATATAAGGTGGATATACAGAAGCAGTGTTCTCAAATGACAGTTCATTGAATTATTTGGAAACATTGAGCTGAAGGATAAACAGTTAAAAAAATTGTATCAAGTCAATAGGAATATATAAGGTTTAAAATAGATGAGTGCAATGTAAATTTATAACAATTTATTATATTATTTGTTCTTTGCGCATATTAAATTTATTGTATTAGGATTTGGGCCCTATAGCTTAGCAGTTAAGCTGCCAAACCCCACAGACTAGGTCGATGGTTTGAGTCAGGCTGGAGGCAAAATCTTAGATTTTAGCTTCTGTAATCCAATAGGGAGCTATAATTGAATGCAGAGCC